TTGAATAAATAAATAAATAAATAAATCTATTAAAAAAAAAAAAAGAACATAGAAGAAATAAAACACAGACAAATTAAAGCAGCAAAATTGAGGCAGTAATCAAAGCACTCCACAAAAACAAAAGCCCAGGCCCAGACGGCTTCACAAATGAATTCTACCAAACGTTCAGCAGTGAATTAGTGCCTATCCTACACAAACTCTTTCAAAAAATTGAAAATGAAGGAATACTACCAAATGTTGGCTTCACAGAAGCCAACATTACACTAATACCAAAACCAAACAAAGACAGCATAAAAAAGAAAATTACAGGCCAATCTCCCTAATGAACACTGATACAAAAATCCTCAACAAAATCCTTGCCAACAGAATCCAACAATGCATCAAAGGGATAATACACCATGATCAAGTGGAATTCATCCCAGGGGAACAAGGATGGTTCAACATACGAAAATTGGTCAGTGTAATCCAACACATCAAAAGAAAGAAAAATAAAAACTACATGATCATATCAATAGATGCTGAGAAAGCATTCGACAAAGTTCAACATCCATTTATGGTGAAGGCCCTTGAAATCCTCGAGATAGAAGGAATATACCTTAACATGATAAAAGCCATATACAACAAACCCGCTGCCAATATTATTCTCAAAGGCAAAAAGCTGAAGGCCTTTCCTTTAAGATCAGGAACAAGACAAGGATGTCCTCTCTCACCACTGCTCTTCAATATAATATGGGAGGTCCTAGCCAGGGCAATAAGACAAGAGAAAGACATACAGGAATCCAAACAGGGAAAGAAGAAGTAAAACTACTACTATTTGCCAACGATATGATAATATACATAAAGAACCCTAAAAACTCCACAGAAAAACTACTCAAAATAATCAACCAGTTCAGTAAAGTAACAGGATACAAAATCAATATGCAAAAATCAGTAGCCTTCCTATACAAAATCAATCTGAAGATGAAGAAATCAAGAAAACCATCCCTTTTATAATTGAAACAAAAAAAATCAAATACTTGGGAATACACCTAACAAAACAGGTGAAAGACCTATACAAAGAAAATTATAAAACACCTGTTAAAAGAAATTGAAGAAGACATAAAGAAATGGAAAGACATCCCCTGCTCATGGATTGGTAGAATGAGCATTACCAAAATGACCATCTTCCCAAAAGCAATATACAGATTCAAAGCTATTCCAATAAAAATCTCAATGACATTCTTCAAAAAAATAGAGCAAATACTGATGAAATTCATATGCAACCACAAAAAACTACGAATAGCCACAGTCCTATTGATGAAAACAAAGGAGAAAGGAGGTATCACACTTCCAAACTTCAAGGTATACCACAAAGCCATAATAATTAAAACAGTTTAGTATTGGAACAATAACAGACACACAGACCAATGGAAACGAATAGAGCCAAGAAAAAAAGCCACACTTTTATGAACAACTATTCTTTGACAAAGGAGCAAAGACTATGCAATGGAACATGGACAGTTTGTTCAATAAATGGTGCTGGGAAAACTGGACCTCCACATGCAAAAAAATGAAACTAGACCACTACCTCTCACTGTGCACAAAAATCAACTCAAAATGGATAAAAGAACTGGACATAAGACCTGAAACCATAAAATATATAGAAGAAAATATAAGTAATACACTACAAGACATATATCTCAGAAACATCTTTAAAGACTCATCACCCAAAGCAGTGAGAGTGAAGGCAAAGATAAACACCTGGGATTACATCAAACTGAAAAGCTTCTGTGCAGCCAAAGAGACATTAACCAAAACAGAGAGACACCCCACTGATTGGGAAAAAAATCTTTGCACTCCAGTCAACAGGGACTGATCACAAAGACATACAATGAACTCACATGGCTCAACAAAAACAAAATAAACAATCCAGTCAAGAAATGGGCAGAAGAACTTAAAAGACATTTCTCCAAAGAGGAAATGCAAATGGCCAACAGACATATGAAAAAATGTTCAACATCCCTTATTATCAGGGAAATGCAAATCAAAACCACACTGATATACCACCTTACACCAGTAAGAACGGTACATATCAAAAAAACAAGCAACAACAAATGTTGGCGAGGATGTAGTGAAAAAGGAACTCTCCTACATTGCTGGTGGGAGTGCAAACTGGACCAACCACTATGGAAAGCTGTCTGGAGGTTCCTCAGTCTACTAAAAATGGAGCTACCATACCACCAGGCAATTCCACTACTAGGGATCTACCCAAAGGACACAAAAACATTGATTCAAAGGAACACCTGTACATTTATGTTTATTGCAGCACTATTTACAATAAGTAAGACCTGGAAACAACCCAAATGCCCAAAAATAGATGACTGGATCAAGAAAATGTGGTATATATACACAATAGAATATTATTCAGCAATCAAAAAAGATAAACTCATGCCATTCACAGCAACGTGGATGGAGCTAGAAGGAATTATGCTCAGCGAAATAAGCCAGAAGGAAAAAGAAAAATAATGGATGGTTTTACTTATAACAGGAATATAGGGGAACCAAATAAGACATCAGTGTAAAAAAAACAATAATAACAGCACAAAACACAACAAAGCACAAACAGACAATTATAAATCAGAGACATACTGCAGGTGGGGAGGAGGAAGAGGGATCAGAGGGAGGGAGTGAGGAGCACAGGGTGTTGTGCTGATGGTGCACAGGTGCCTTGGAAATTCTATGGGAACTCAATCTGAGGAGGTGAGGGGAAGCAAATATTGTTTAAAAATAAAAAAAAATTACAGTTGAAAATTAAAAAAAAAAAATCTGGTCACCAATTTTTTCCCAATTCACTGTGTTTATACAGATATCAGTGACAAAGACCAGAACTTCAAAACACAGAAAAACACATTCTGGGAATCAGTACTACGGTAACTTATAAATGTGTCCAGGATATAGATTCAAAACATAGTGCCTAGGCAGTAATCAACCATGCTCAAACCACTGCTAAAAATAACTGACTAATCAGGCAGCTGACTTTATGTACAAAAGGCCACAGATAAGTTCATCTGTTTATGTAATTATTATTAATGTCTCAATGGCCCTTTAAGGCCTCCAGCTAATTCCTCAATTTCTATCAAAAGAATGCCTGCAAAGCTCTCCTCACACAGCTGCCTGGGGCTGATAATAACGTATTGCTCTTGTTTGCAATGACTGCTGTATTATTTACTGTAAAGAGTGGGCTGAATTTCCTGCACCATTAAAAATGTGTAGAATTGAATTCCTAGATGAAAGGAGTGTATGATGTGATTCCACTGAAGGATTATTAACAGGTGTAAATTCGTGAAAGGGAGATTAGAACATGATATATTTAAGAATGAGGATAAGACCTGTCCTGCTACAGAGCTAGCAATCTCCCAGCAGTCAGTGGATCACATCGTCCAAAGCCACATTAGGTGGAAAAAACTATGTAGTTAGCCTACAGTTTAAATAAAGAAACTACACTCCCGGGAAGGCCAGACATCATTTTCAAAGTTTATAGATCATTTGTAAGATCTACAATAGAAAACTACCTGAAAGGAAATCAATCAAAACAAACATTCACACAATAAATATTTCAAGTATTTCTTGATTGTTTAGAATGTGCCAAGTACTAGATGGCAAGTGAAAGAACTAGTCCTTGCCCTAAATAATAAATAGTTCCTCCTCTAAGGGGAAGAGAAATAAGAAAACCACTCATTATAAGCATGGACAGTTTTTTACTAAAACAAAACAATCAGATTTTTGAATGAAGAGATTTACATTGTTCATCTAACCTATCACTTTAACAAATAAGCTAAGCAATGAAAGCAGTCCTAAATCATTGTCCTGTAAATGAGATATCTTTTTTTCCAAAAGGGCACAATTTCTATCAGAAGTATTTCAAAATTTTCCTTGAAAAAGTCAGCAAATTTCTGTGCTGATAAACAATTTCTTTACTTAACCAAAACTACTTGCAAGTCAAGGCTCCAGCCCTAACAGAATTAATAATTTTAATGGAAGCAGAAAATTCTCAGAGAAATACTGGTAGAGGTTTGTTTCAAATATGTTCCTGGTAAAGCTGGAACTAAATGTGCAAGCGTCCAATCTCTGCAGAGAGGATAAAATTTTTCTTTCTGGTCAAAGAATCCTTAGAATAAAAAACTTTCTATCTGAAGCTTAAAGGGCTAAACAACTTCCAAGGGATGAGACATAGTCTGTCAATTACCCTATGATATCCCTAAAACAGGAGAAGAAATGTTATTTAACTGAAAATCAACTTCAACTTTTTCAGTTGAACTGCTTTCAATTTTGAGAATCCCCTGAAGTCCACAGTTTCAGAAGTCTTGCATATATAGTGACGTGTCAAGGAGGAGATAGGGCTAGATTAGAAGTTGATGCCAAGAACACAAATATACAGAACCTGAAAAGATAAATTCCATAGAGAATACTTTAAAGGTCTTTGAAGTTTCAAAAGAGGAAAAGGCTGCGCTGTTGAGAGGATTAGGAAAATGGGTTCATGAAGGAGGTAAAGACAAACTGAAAATTGTACCATATTTGGGAGGGTGGTATCTGCTGCAGATAACCAATAGCATATGTAAATGTCCCAGAGTCATATAGGTTATATGTACAGTACCTTGGAGATAAGGTCGGAAAATGGGACTAGACTATGGAAGGCAATACTGCAGGAGAATCAAGTATCTAATATAGTCTTTCATTCTGTAGGGGAGGGATTTATGAATCAGTTTGATTTGCACAAGGTCAAACAGAAATGGCAAAGTCCAAAATAAAACCAGGTCTTCCTTGCCCTAGGCTGTTAAGTTCTACAGGGCAAACTGGTGGACCATAGGAAAATACATCTGAAAACAAACTTTGAAACAAGTAAGCAAATAAGCATACACACACACAGAGATACAGACACACTGCATATCACAATGCTACTACTGCCAATGAATAGTAGTATGCAAGGTAATTATGTATATCTATAAACTTTTATCACTTACCTCTACAGCAGATTTTTTTGATGACATCTGTGTTATAGTTTCTTTGAATTTATTTGCCTTTTCAAGTTGGGCTTTAAGTTTTTCAGCTAGTTCCTTTAAAAAGAAAAACAAGTAAAATAAGTTGATATGTCATTTAATTTTTCACTGTAGAATAATATTTCAAATTTATACAATGGAAGGGAAAACAGCACAGCAAACACCCATGTAGATATCACTATATGTCAACTGTAGCCTAAATGCAGTTACTAACTTAAAACCTAGTATGCCGATTTCTAATGATCTTATCTCAATGATAAACTTCTTAAAACCTGTGACATTGTTCATGCTTTCAAAGTAAATCATTACAAGAACATTTTTTTTTAAGATTTATTTATTTATGCATACAAGAACTGAGGTGCAGGCCAGAGGTGTGGAGGGGTGAGAGGATTTACCAGAGACAGAGTGGGGAACAGAACAGGCAGAATGACTGAAATACACTGCTGAGGGGAGCAGCAGGAGAGTCAGGAGAGGTCTGCTGCGCCATGAGGGTAGCTCCCAAGCCAGGGATCAAACTTGTGCTTCAGTGGCTGCAGATAGCTTCATAGGTTGCGTCTTAACCCTTTGCCCCACCAGGGAGGCCCACAAGGACATATATTTTAGGAGACAGGGAGATGGAAAATATACATAACCTTAAGAATGACATTTTTATCATTCCTTATAGATCAGAAACTTCTAGTACTCAAAATTTCAGATATCTGTAACAAGGAAGCCATCGTAAGATTTAAAATATTACTTTGTTGATAATTTAGATTAAAATAATTTAGATAATTTAGATTAAAATAATTTAGATAATTTAGATTAAAAATCTGAATAATTTCTTTTTTACTCTAGAAAGTGTATAAGAATTTATAGAAAATAAATGATATATGCAGCAATAAATTACAAAGAAATAAATTAAATACACAGGTTTATATGATAAGCGAAGAAAATCTTCCTCAGGCAGTAGCTTCATAAACACAGGAATGTTTCTTTCAACATAGCAAAACCTCCAGACCCGATGACTTTGCTTTCACTATTTTAATTAATTCCTTTATGCCTTAAAATTTAAAACTTTGTTTTCTTCCTATTGTCATGGCTTTTGTTCTTTTGTCTCTCTTACCAATTTCTGGGATGACCTGAACTTTAGTGTTATACCAAGGACCAGATTCAAAGACAAAGATACACTTTCTATTAGAGATACAAGCTAATAAAAATAGAAGCATCCTGTCAGCCAGTCTTTGCTCTACTAAAGAGTATTATAAGAATAAATCACTAAAACGTAAATACTCTCATATAACCATGATGCATTTTATTATACAGCAAGACAAGAACTTTTGTCTGGCTTTGCTATTCTACCTTGTGCAATGTGACATGGGTTAGCAAACAGGAATGTGACAACATACTACATCAGTAGGTTATCAAGCCAGTAGAGAGGTGAATTCAGCTCTTCCCAATCATCCCATTCAGTTCTGAGGCAATCAGTGTTAAATCACATTAACCTATACAAATGAGTTAACCTACACAAAGTATGTATCACATTATCAGGTACAAACACATGGCCTTCAAATTTAAATAAATGAATTCACCATCCTTTCCAGAAACTCATTTTTTGAGTTTCTAAGTAAGAGAATTAAAGAAACTAATACCTGTTCTTTCATGACTAAAAAAAGGAAAGACAGCAGTGGTATCTTACCTCTCTCAAATATTCCGAACAAGTTAGAAATACAAGAATAAACTAAATAACAAAATAAAAAAACAAATTAATGAGTATTTGGTTACCTAGGATGTTAGATTTCACAAATTGACAGAAAACGTAGAAAATGTATTTAGGAGTAGATACTGTGTTTTTGAAGGCATTCAAGGAATTCCTTAAAGAAACAATATGTAGGAGTTATTTTCAAACTGTGCTACATTCATCTTGCCAAGGAACTTACAAAATTACTCATAAGAAGTTTAATATTTAATTACCAGAATGCAAAACAACAACATCTAAGTCTTACCATATTTCCCATCATTTCTGCCTTGATAATCTTGGCTCCCAACTTGTTCTTCTCATCAACACTCATGATGTGGATGGACTCTCCCTTTGGACTACTTCTGTTTGGACAGGACAGATTTAGAACATATGAAATATAGGTATAATGCCAGTAACAACAACACTCAAACTAACCTCAGCAAAGCACTCAGTACCAACAGATCATGATTCTAACATGCAATTAAAAAAAAAAAAAAAAACCTGTCCCAATATGAATCAATTGTTTAAGATTCTGTAATGGTCACTATGATAATTATAATCATAATTAACCAAAGACCCACTCACAACAGATAAATAAAAACACTAAAATCAGCCATAATTCTACACATCTGGAGAAAGTCTTCTCATCAAGTGATGTTATTGATCATCTAAGAGACAGTAACCAGGAAATGACATATTTAACTGTATTTAAAGAATAAAAGTAATGACCATGTGCTCTTTTGCAAAGTCAATACAGAGTTTATAAGACACCATAAATTAATTTATGACAAAGACCATGTGCCCAACCTTTACTATGGAAGCCTCACAGAAAAAAAAAAGAACTGTCCAGCCAGGGTCAGATCCTGGCATGTAATTCCCATGTTACTAATTTAAAAATATTTGAGACAATAGTACGGAGAGAGTAAACCCAGGAAGAGCGAAGAAGTTACAGCTAAGCATCCAGGAGCTCTAAGGCAGCTAGAGAGAACAGAGCTACACAGTGAGGGAATCCTAGAACTGAGAGTCCCCAGGAGAATTCAGCAAGAAACTACCTGCAGGTAAAGAACTATCCCAAAGAATGAGAGAAAGAGTATTCAACAGTCCCGGGATTAGTGAACCTTCCAGACTATTAAAACTCTTAATTCAGAAAGCACTGGATAGAGCATTAAGGGTCTTGTTTCATTAGTCAGAAATAGTAAGCCCTGGACTAACTCAGCTCTGGGACTACATAACAAATGTTAAAAGCAATAGTCAAAAGGATCAAATGATTTCAAATTACCTCTGCCCCAGAACAAAGCTCAAGAATAGTTTTAGGAATGGAAATATATTCACTATTCAACAAGGTAAAATTCATAATATCTAGTCTCAAATGAAACATTATCAGCTGCAAAGATGGACAAAAATAAGACCCACAGCTAGAAGAAAAAACTAGCAATCAAAATCAACCCAAAACTGAAAGAGATGTAAAAACAGATAACAGAATTAAAGTTACTATTCTAATTCTATTCTATATCATCACTGTGTTCAACAGTCTATATGTTACATGTGCTCAAAATGTTAGAGATGACTAAGACATAATAGAGACCTGAAAAGAATTTCCATAAATGAAAGTCACACTATCTGAAACAAAAAGTACCCTGGATTGGATTAATGGAAGATTAGACTGCAACAGAAAAAAATCAGTGAACTTATTTAAGCATTAGAAACTAGGCAAAATAAAAAACAGAGAAAAAGAGAATTTTTAAAAAGTAAGAGTTTCAGAGAGCTGTGAACCAACCTTAAATACCCTACCATTCATGTCACCAGAGACCCTGAAAGAAAGGAATGGGGAGGTCCTCCCCTGGTGGCGCAGTGGTTGAGCGCTGGGCTGCGAAGCTGCCCGCAGCCTCTGCAGCGCCGTTTTGATCCCCGGCTGCCAGCGAGGGTCCCACATGGCATGCAGACCTCTCCTGCCGCACCCGCTGCTCCCCTCAGCAGTGTATTACGTCAGTCTGCCTGTTCTGCTCCCTGCTCTGGCTCTGGTGAATTCTCTCACCCTCCCGCACTTCTGACCGTACCCAGTGCTTATATAAATAAATAAATAAATCTTTAAAAAGAAAGAAAGGAATGAATGGGGAGACCAAACAAAGGCAAATAGTCCACATTGGTTGACAACTAAAAAATGTACAGAAGCAAGCTCAAGAAATCCCAAATACAAGAAAACTACATGAATAAACTACACCAAGGTATCATCATGATCAGATGGCTCAAAACTGATAATAAAGAGATCATTTTTAAAGCAACCATGGGGGAAGAGGACATTCATGCACATCATATGAAGCAGATGGAAATAATGCAAGCAAGAGAAGAGCAACAACATCTTTACTTAAAATTGTCAGCCTAGAATTCCAAAACAAATGAAAATAACGTTCCAAAACAAAAGTGGTTTTTTCAGACAAAAAAGCTGAAAGAATGTTAAAGAAAAACCTTTATTTTAGACAACGGACTGTGCAGCGATGATGTACAGACCTGCTAAAAAAAACAAAAACAAAAACAAAATAATGCCCTAACTCTACTATAAGAAGATATAAAAGGGCATTAATTCAAGATTGAATGTATTTAAGTATGAAAATACTGGCAGAACTGGAAGATGCACTGAAGTGATTAGTTGTTTGTACCTGCCCACAGAATTATTATAGGTGTGGCAACTATACTGAACAGCCATTTGGCATCAGAAATTCACGTAAGATATGACTTTGCAATATGATTAATAAATTCTAGTAAGTTTCTGAATACAATTTAGTTTAAAAGAGAAAAGAAAACCTTTAGGCATAAGGAAAAAGGTTAAAACATGGATCAACCCAAAGGAAAAATAGAGTAACAAAGACTGTAAGAGATAAGTATGTAACTTTGTTATCACTAAAATCCCTTTAAAATAATTTTAAGCAGAAATAGTAACAATATTTAAGGGGTTAATGACAAGTATAAGTAAAATGCATGACAACACTGAGTGAAATAAGGAAAGGAAAGAAATACAATCATTAAATTTGCATACAAGAATGACAGAGTATCTCTTGAAGGTAGATTAAAGATATATATCATCAAAGCTAAAAAAAAGTACTACAATAACAAAAAAAGAAATCATAACAACAAAAAAATGAAGAATCAAAAAATACCCAATCCAAAAGAAGTCAGGCAATGACAGAAAAGAAAACAAAGAATATATAGAAAAAATAGAAAAAAAAATTAGATTTAAACATAATTATATCACATTATGTATAAATGAGCTAAACAACAGAATTAAAAGGAAGAAATTGTCATATCAATATAAAGCAAAACTCAACTATTAGAAATGTACTCTAAATACATTAAACACAAAAGAATGGGGAAACTCTATGTTTAGTAGATCATATGACCCAGCAATTCCACTCCTAGTATTTACCCAGAGGACACAGAAACATCAATTCCAAAGAGCACCTGCACCCCTATGTTTATAGCAGCACTATTTACAATAGCTAAGCTTTGGAAACAACCCAAATGCCCAAAAATAGATGACTGGATCAAGAAGATGTGGTACATATACACCATGGAATATTACTCAGCATTCAAAAAGGATAAACACATGCAATTTGCAGCAACATGGATGGCGCTGGAAGGGATCATGCTCAGTGAAATAAGCCAGAAAGAAAAAGAAAGATACTGGATGGTCTCACTCACAGAGGAATCTAGAAAACTTAAATAAGGGACCAGGAAAAAAAATAACTATAAGAAAGAAAATATCAAAATCAACAAATAACTATGAACAAGAGACACTCTATGGGGGGTGGGGGGCGGGGAAAGGAGGGCTTGAGGTCAAAATAAGGGGGTTGTAATTGTATGGGGAATATAAAAATAAAATTTAAATTAAAAAAATAAAAAATAAAATAAAATAAACTTACAGATCCATCAAAAAAAAAAAAAAAGAAAAAAGAATGGGGAAAGATGTAGCACATTTTCACACCAGTCAAAAGAAAATGACATGGTTTTAAGATCAAATTAAAGAGTGAAAAACAGTATCAGAAACAAAGAGTAATTTCATATGAAAAACAATTGCATCCATCAAGAGTGCAGAAGATTCCCTAAACTTTTATGCACCTAATAACAGAGCTTCAAAATAAATAAAATTGAAAGAACTGCAAAAAGGAACAGATGAATCTACAATTATAGCTGCAGATTTCAAGATGCCTCTCTCAATCCTTGATAGAGTACGTAAGCAGAAAATAGCAAGATTATGAAAGACCTGAAAAACACTATCAGCTAACACTGATAGGATACTCTACCCAGCAACAGTAGATCACACATTCTTTCCAACTGCACAGAAAACATTTACCAAGATAAACTACATTCCATAAAACAAGTCTCAGTAAATTTAAAGAATTCCAGTAGTATAAACTATGAGTTCTGACTACAATAAAATTTAATTAGAAATCATTAACAAAGTCTCTGGAAAATTCTTAACTAATCAGAACTAAATAGCATACCTGTAAATAACCCACATGGCAAGAACAAAATAAAAAGGTATTTTGAACTGAATTTAAAAAATGTAAACACAACATATCACAATTTGTGGGATGCCACTAAAGCATTACTCATGGGAAGATTTATAATACTAAATACTTGAAGTAAAAAAGGAAAAAGATCTGAAGTCAATGGTCTTAGCTTAAAACTTAAGAAACTGGAAAAGAATAAATTAAACACAAAGTAAACAGAATGTAAGTATTAATACAATTCAGAGTAGAAACATTTTTTAAAATAAAAACAAATTCAATGAAAACAAAAGCTGATTCATAAAACAAATGAAATTTTTAAACATATATCTGATTGGTCAAGGAAAAAAAATGATACAAATTACCAAGAAAGAAATGAGAAAGGCAAAATCACTACACATTCTAAGCCTTTTAACAAAAAAATTATCTGGATGGCAAATATGTACCTACAGATACTTGTAATGAATGTTCAAAAAGTTTTAACACCCCCAGACTGGAAACATCTAAATGTCCACCACAAAGTGAAGTAGAAACAAATTCTGCTACATCTACCAATGGGATATTACCCACCAATAAAAAGGAATGAATTGTTGTTAATATGCAACCTGGACAAAACTCAAAATAATTAAGACAGACAAAAATAAAAAGAGTGAATAACGTATGCATATGCTCTTATTTATATAAAACTCTAGATAATGTAAACTAGTCTGTATTAAAGCAAGCAGATGAGTGTTTGCCTAAGGTTTGTAAGGCAGGAAAAAGGGGTCATGAAAGGATACCAAAAAAACTGGGGGATTATGGTTTCATGAGAATATAAACACCTCAAAATTTACCAATCTGTACACTTCAGATATAAA